TGCTCCTTCAGGATTAATGGCGTTGGGAAGCTCCTGGAATCTCGCGAGACTGAGTGGGGCGCTGACGACGATCACTGACCTGGAGGAGAGTTCATGGTCTTTCATAAGCCGAGGCTTGGACTGAGCTCGGCGCCTGCTTTATTAATGGTATCCGCTGTGTCATCTATCCTAACTAAGCTTGATCACAGGATATCGAGTCAACTACCTTCTCGTTAACGTGATCGTCCTGTGATGTTCCCCGACACGGAGGGACCTGTGGTGGTTACTGTCAGTCCTTGCTTTAAACACAAAATAACAGGTTGTCGATTTCTTTAAAAACGGTTCGAGGAATCTTTGCCTTGTGGAACCGTGTAGACGGAGTTTATGGCCCTGTGCTGCCGATCGGGATGGGGTTGTGGATGTAGGGTGTTTGGTGATGGCTTGGGGATGATGGGATGCTGAGTGTTGGTTGAGAGTGGTTGATGAAGGAGGTGCTGAGATTGGATGGTGAGTGGTGGGAGATGGGTTTTGTTGTGGATTACTAGTATTTGTTGTGGGTATAGAGTATAGAGTATAGAGTATAGAGTATAGTACATAGAGTATAGGGTATAGGGTATAGAGTATAGAGTATAGAGTATAGAGTATAGAGCATAGGGCATAGGGTATAGAGTATAGAGCATAGGGCATAGCGTATAGGGTATAGGGTATAGACTATAGATAATAGGGTATGGGTATAGTGTATGGTGTATAGTGTATAGTGTATAGAGTATAGAGTATAGAGTATAGGGTATAGAGTATAGAGCATAGGGTATAGGGTATAGGGTATAGACTATAGATAATATGGTATGGGTTTAGGGTATAGGGTATAGGGTATAGAATATAGAGCTTAGGGTATAGGGTATAGGGTATAGGGTATAGAGTATGGGTATAGGGTATAGTGTATGGTGTATAGTGTTTAGAGTATAGAGTATAGGGTATAGAGTATAGAGTATAGGGTATAGGGTATAGAGCATAGGGTATAGGGTATAGAGTATAGGGTATAGGGTATAGGGTATGGGTATAGTGTATGGTGTATAGTGTTTAGAGTATAGAGTATAGGGTATAGGGTATAGGGTATAGAGTATAGAGTATAGGGTATAGGGTAAAGAGCATAGGGTATAGGGTATAGTGTATGGTGTATAGTGTATAGAGTATACAGTATAGGGTATAGAGTATACAGCATAGGGTATAGGGTTTGGAGTATGGAGTATAGGGTATAGTGTATATAGTATAGAGCAAAGGGGAAAGGGGAAAGAGCATAGTGTATAGAGTATAGAGCATAGGGCATAGGGCATAGGATATAGAGCATAGTGTATAGAGTATAATGTATAGAGTATAGAGCATAGCGTATAGAGTATAGAGTATAGAGCATAGAGTATAGGGTATGGAGTATAGAGTATAGAGCATAGAGTATAGGGTATAGGGTATAGGGTATAGATCATAGTGTATAGAGCATAGCGTATAGAGTATAGAACACATAGTATAGGGTATGGAGTATAGAGTATAGAGCATGGGGCATAGAGTATAGTGTATAGAGTATAGAGCATAGCGTATAGAGTATAGAGCATAGAGTATAGGGTATGGAGTATAGAGTATAGAGCATGGGGCATAGAGTATAGGGTATTGAGTATTGAGAATAGAGCATAGGGTATAGGGTATAGGGTATAGAGCATAGTGTATAGAGCATAGCGTATAGAGTATAGAGTATAGAGCATAGGGTATAGGGTATGGAGTATAGAGTATAGAGCATAGGGTATAGGGTATAGGGTATAGGGTATAGGGTATAGAGCATAGAGTATAGAGCATAGCGTATAGAGCATAGAGTATGGGGTATGGAGTATTGAGTATAGAGCATAGGGCATAGAGTTTAGTGTATAGAGTATAGAGTGTAGTGTATATAGTTTAGTGAGTGAGTGAGTTCGGTTTTACGCCGCTTTTAACAGTATTAAAGTTATATCACGGCGTGTCAGCTTAATGTGGGAGGAAAGCCCGAAGTGATGCAGGCCTCAAACGTTTACACGAGTACGGGTATGGTGCTGACAAACCTAGAAACATAATCGGGGCGAACCGGGATTCGAACCCATAATCCTAGGTTTCTGACGTGTCCCATATAGAGTTTAGAGTATAGAGTATAGGGTATGGGGTATAGAGTATAGAGTATAGGGTGTTGGTATACTGTATAATGCAAAGGGTATAGAGTATAAAGTATAGGGTGTTGGCATATTGTATAATGCAAAGAGTGTAGGGTATAGGGTATAGAGTATAGGGTATAGGGTATTGAGTACAGAGTATAGGGTATAGAGTACAGAGTACAGAGTATAGGGTATAGAGTACAGAGTATGGGGAATAGAGTATAGGGTATAGGGCACTGATATATCAATACGATTAATGACTGCGCTGTAAAACAATTCATTTTTCACTAATTGCAACACACATGTAGATATATTTAACTATGACGTCAGCGTTAAAAGAAACTATATACTTTCCCTTAAAGGTCACTCTAGGTAAGAGTTGCGTCCCTTGGACACGCCAGAAACTCATGATTGTGGGTTCGAATCCCGCATCACCCCGATAACGTTTCTAGGTCTGTCAGCACCATATCGTGCTCGTGTGTTTCGCAAAAGTGGTGAACGTCTGAGGCCTTATCACTGATGACTTTCCTCCAACATTAAGCTGACACGTGATATAACTGGAATACAGTTCAAAGCGGCGTTAACCAAACTCTCACTCACTCACTCCAGCTGAAAATAACCTTGTTGGTAAAGGCAGAAACCCGCTGGCAACGATGCAGATAATTGACTGACGTAGTACATCCCTACATCAGACACAGATGCATAAAGACAAACTCTGGCTAACGCACCAGGAGTTAAGATGTCGCAACGTTCTGATTGAATTTCGAAATAGATGCTGTCGGATTTGCAGTGACAAATCTCGTTACGCGACCTAGAAGACATAGAAAGCTTCACTTGGGGTAATCCTCGCGACTCTAGTCACTAACATACAACTGTTTCAAGATATAACTTCAGCGGATATTTTTAGTTCCCAAATTACGAAGCTAACCAAATAAATGAGAGATTCTTTACAGTGTTCTTATCGTCGCTAGGTTATGTGTCGGGCAGGGTTACATGGATCCCCCTGACGAGCTGAAATTTTGCTCTGGGGCTGAATACCACAACAGCGTCTTTGGCCGCATCTCAGCCCCCCGTTCATCATTACACAAATTTAATCACAGAAACACAATAAAACGTCACCTCGGGCCTTATTGCCGCGTCGACCGGATAACGTTCTACTACAAATATGTGTGAATCAGTCGGAACTTCCTTTAACGAGCTTTACTCTTCATGGCGACAATTTGTCACCCGACAATTAGATTTTGCTCGGGAGCAAGGGCGTTGCGAATAACAGGATCGCGACACTGAAGTGGACGGTTTTAGGTAGCGTAAACAGAAAGTAGACAGAGAGTAGACGGAGAAAATGAGGTGTCAATTGGCGTTGCGGTTCCCGCCTGTTATACAATCATTTATCGACGCTGCCAGGCTGTTCGACATCGGACAATGACATTTCCAGGACTGAATGGCAATAATGGCGGTCTTCGTGCCAGACATTCGGCACACGTCGGACAGTTAAGAGGTCAGACAAGTAGGTTCCGATATCAAGGCACGACAAGGTCTGTTCTGTGTCGTTGCCTTCCATCTACGCATTCTCACTTTATGTAATCCCACGATTCTTCGACAACGATTCTGTAACGTTGGAGTAAAATGTATTTATTTAAAGAGAAAAATAGATTTTCCTCGTGAAGTATTCCTGATCGAAATGAAATGATATTAAAACAGGTTTCCATAACTCATTTGTCATAATCATGTCGACTCGCAGAAACACGTCAATATTGACATATCTCTCTCAATCGATTGCCAACAAACACTTCGGGTGTGGACTAAGCGTGCTCGCGACCGCATTATTTGAACGAGGAATATTGAAACAATGCAAAAGGCATTGATAAACTGTACATACCTTTGAAGGCATGTGGGCTTTTACTGGTCGTGCACTGAGTGTGAGATGCTCACACAAATGACAGTGCTATTGGCACACCATCAAGCTTAAGATTACTAAGTCAATACAACAGAACTGTATGAATGGGGAACAATCAATTTATATTGATGGTTGAAGTTTTTGTGAACTATTGTTATATTTATTTTCCAAGATATTGACACCGGGTTGCCGTGAGTGATCTTTCGCTTCGGAATACGCTACGAAGGAAAGTCAATAATTTGAGAGCTGACTCGCTTGCAGGTAAATAGGGACTATTTATCTTTGCATGATAGGAACACTGCATGCTGCGCTTCTCTATTTATTAGCGTAACAAAGAAATGCAAGTCAAGCCGGCGAGGTTAAAGAGGTGCATTTGTATGTAATTGTATGCGTATTTGAAACAACTCGTGTCAGATTGTATATTTCAAAGCTCATGTTTTAAATGCATGACGGGTTGAAGAAACGTTTGAGAGAACAAAAGAGGGTATGTTATAAATTATTAAGACTTGCACTCAAAAACCTAAAAGACTAAAAATATCAAAACCATCATAATTATAGTATTGCATTTTTGTTACTTTTTGTCTGTTTCCTGTATTTATTGTCACCTCTCATTTTTATTAATTTATTATTTTAAATATGTATTACCCTATTTTCTAGTTACTGCTGGGCCCGTCGGGTAGCCTAGTGGTTAAAGCGTTCGCTCGTCACGCCGAAGACCCGGGTTCGATTCCCGACATGAAGACCCGGGTTCGATTCCCGACATGGGTACAATGTGTGAAGCCCATTTCTGGTGTCCCCCGCCGTGATATTGCTGGAATATTGCTTGTATTACTCCCTACAAGACTATGCACCGAGGCATCGTTGTCTTTATATTCATGTGCATTATCAACCCATAGTTCCTTTTTGGTTTTTTTTTTATAGAAATGAGTATCAATCCATAATTTTGTTCTCACCTCCTCTTCTTCGGTGATGGTATTGTCCGCATCTCGATCATCAATCCTCGACAGCAGTCGATCCTGAAAAGATAAGTACATATTAAAGCAATGTGCGATTGAAACATATAAAAAAGCTTAGAATAAGTCCCCCTCCATCAGACAGCTGAAATGGTGTTGAGTGCGGCGTTAAATAGAGAATCACACCCGACTGTCTTTTGATATCAAATATATCAACACGAGTTGATAAAAGTGGAAAAATTCCGAGGCTTGCCGATGATTTTTGCCACTTTTATCAACGATTGTTGATATATTTGATATCAAAAGACGAGGGTGAGATTTTATTTATCATCCAACATCATTCTCTCACCGTTCAATTTGTAGACAATAATTAGAAGTGTCTTCAGTGTATAAAGTACTGCTAACAGCTTCAGTAACAGAACCATTAGTGATGTCATTTGATTGTGACGTCATGGTAACCAGTGACGTCACAATGGTCTGCAAAGCATTGTGATGTAATTTCATTGCAGCGATATCTACAGTGTAGATATCGCTTGATCTCATCCAAGCAATATCTCCTGTGGGAGCCAGTTTTGGATGATAATTTTTTTTTGTATGTTTGTACACAGTGTGTTGCTAAAGTAGAACTTATATCCTTTGACCTTCAACTCGCCAACATACACACATGAGTTACATTAGAAGCACAATGAAAGTATCTCATGTTCTCTAATGAGACCTTTGTGGGTCCGAAATAGATATCGATAAATTTCTATTCGTCCGATCCTAATTAGATCTTGAAAACCATCACGAAACACAATACATGAATACTATAGAGTAAACACAGCCCTACAGAGAATCACATTTCAGAGTAATATGAGCTCACATCTAACAATGTACAGCCAGCAGTGGTCATTTGAAACCTATCGCCTTTGCTGACCAGTAGTATCGGTGATTAATTCGTCCTTCAGGTCGATAGGGAACGTGATCCACAGAGAGCGGCTGTTTATATTGAAAATAATAATCCGAAGTTAATTCTGATATTTGAGGCGTATTGAATTAACCTTTGATAATGGGCCCACATACTCTCTAAGGCTAGTTTTAAGGTAGGAATTTTAATTCTTATATTTGAGGCGTATTGAATTAACCTTTGATAATGGGCCCACATACTCTCTAAGGCTAGTTTAAGGTAGGAATTTTGTTTCTGGTTAATAAGCCAATAAATGGTACAAAGTCATATTTTTCTTATAACTCGACCTATTTTTAGTTTATTTGTCCTCATAATTGACTCAATATTCTGTCATTGTGTAAGTTATTATTATTATTGGTAATTACACGATTATCGATAGGCATGGTAGGTAAAGGCTAATTATGAGTGTTCGATAAACAAGCACGGGCTAATTGTGATCACAGCTTTAGCTTCAACAAAACAACGCACTCGCGGTAATATGGGCATAATAAAATATGTAAAGAATGACCTACTTCGGTTTTAGAATTTGTGTACTGACCTGTCTCTAGGAGACACAGAACAATGGTATCTGAAAGAATAGAGGCATCGGTTCAAGGGTGACTGAGAGCATTTAAGCCCGTGATTGGGTTCCTATCTACCTGGGCAAAGAGACAGGCGGTGGCCGATTTGTCGTAGGATGCTATTGAACTTGTGAATGAGTTTGATTTTACGCCGCTTTTAGCAATATTCCAGCAAAATCATCTTCCCGAGGCAAGGGAATTAACTGACTTTAAAAGTCGAACTAGCCTGGAATTCCTGGGCTCGATCGTAGCGCCACCAGTGGCTATTTCCAATTATATCCCTTCTAAGCCTCTCCTATGGACCAATCAGATTCCACCTCTCGTATCACTTGCATTTGCTTCAAACAAAATGGTGGCGACAATCAAGATCTATATTGTGATAAAAGGGGTCTTACATCGCAAAATACATCAAATCACGTGAGCACCTTAAATAAAAACATGAAAAGATTTTGAAAATATCTGTTGACAACGAGTTGGCGGTGCACATGTTTTGCAATCGACCGAAATCTGCAAGACAGTTTACGAACCGGATTTCGATTTCGTTGCGCGATTTTGATTGGACTATGCATAGACTCGTTAGTCCAGCCAAATTGTAACTCCATAATACCAGCCTAGTTCGGCAAGGTTGGAAACTGGACTTTTATAGTCAGTTAACTCACTTACCTCGGGAAGATGACCAGAAATGGGCATCACACATTGTACCCATGTCGGGAATTGAACCCGGGGTGCTTGTACTAGTCCGGACAGATGCCGATTTTATAGTGTTAGCCCACTGAAATACCATTCCACAGTTTAACATGAATACCCCACTCAGACACATTAACTGACTCCGGGTCGACCAGTCCTTTTTTAACCACTTAATGCCGAGCGCAAGGCAGGGTAACAATAAGTACAATCTTTTAAACGGTATTACGCGGACCAAACCCACGATCTTCCGCTCTCCGGACAGACGCTCTATCCACGAGTTAATCTACCGGATAAAAGTAAGTTGGCTCCTATGGTTGATGGTGGCTTAAATGAAACAGGAATGTTAATCGATGGTGATGTATTTGAAGCGGGTATATAAGATGTGTTTTGGGCCTTTAGTTTGTAGTGTTCGGGTACTGTTTTCGTTCGAGTAACGATTTGATACCGTTTGTAATGTTTTGGTCAAATCCAATTTTCAAGTGAGGTGAGGTGAGATGAAATTGGGTTTAACGTCGCGTCCAAGATTATTGCACTTATATAGCGACGTGCATGCACATGTGTGTGTTTGTGTGGCTGCTTGTACTAGTCCGGACTGATGCCGATTTATAGTGCTAGCCCACTGAGATACCATGCCGCAGTTTAACACGAATACCCCACTCAGACACAGTATACTGACTCCGAGCTGACCAGTCCATGTTTTCGCCCCTTAATGCCGAGCGCCAGACAGGGTAACAACAAGTACCATCTTTTAACGTCTTTTGGTATGACGCGGCCGGGGATCGAACCCCGGACCTTCCGCTCTCCGGGCGGACGCTCTACCACTAGACCACGGAGACGGTTCAGTTTTCAAGTGTAAACTTCCTTTTGCCTGTCAGTTTATAACATTGAGAGAATGAGTGAATGAGTCTTTGTCGATCTAGATGTCGTTGAAATTGCAGCATCCCAAACAAGGGCTATCTGAACTCTCCTAAATGTGTAACCAGAGACCATATACCGATATCGGTATATGGTCTAACCATGTTGGGATTCGAACATCAAATTTAAGTTTGAACGCATTTTCTTCACTACGACCGTGCATACAATCTATCAATATGCTCTTTATACAACGAAACTAAGTCAGTACAACACAGTGGCTTTTGCAGCCTCCCAAAATCAATACAACCGTTCCCATGAGTGTTTAAGACCAAGCGTATTAAATAAGCACACTGGTAATATTGTTAAAAGCAGGGGAGGTATAAAAATCTGATATCCTTGTCGCAACCCAGTTATCGTAATGCTACCATCGAGAAGCGTCAGGCTCGTCGTGGTGCTTGGTGGGATCAGCCCTCCATTACACGGGATTGGCTGTCAGTGTGTATTTCCGTACTTCTGGTCAAAGTAATACGAAAGCTGATCCATTTTTTTGACTGTTTTGGTCAAATGCCAAATAATTCAATTTTATGAGCGTTCGCATAACATAGAACTATTTTATTGTGTCTTAATGGATAGGATTTCTGGGACACGTGGGCGATGACTCACATAAACACACTACATATATTCTCCCTGCAGTGCAAAACGTGCCCTAAATACGAAACAATCTGGGATTACGTTACTTAAATGCAGGAGAATAGGTCTCCTTGCAATATACGAACGGAAAATGCCGGGCCAAAGGAAGTATACACCTATGATTAATGGTGGTTAAATATGATACAAAAGAGAAATGGTAATCGATGGTGATGTATTTGATATCGGTAAATAGTTGCGTTTTGGACCTTCGTTTTGCAATGTTTCGGAGTCTGTATTCATCCTTGTTACGTTTTGATAACGTTTGTTACTGATCTGGAATTCCACCATGGTTCCATCAATGTTTCCCTTACATAGTGAGTGAGTGCGTATGGTTTTACGCCGCTTTTAGCAATATTCCAGCAATATCACGGCGGGGGACACCAGAAATGGGCTTCACACATTGTCTTCCCTGAAAGAGCGGTGTATGTGTGTGTGTCTGTGTGGTATCTTTTGCTCTCTCTCTCTCTCTCCCTGTGTATGTGCCCTCTCTCTGTGTGTCTCTGCGTGGTGTCTTTTGCTCTCTCTCTCTCTCTCTCTCTCTCTCCCTGTGTATGTGCCCTCTCTCTGTGTGTCTCTGCGTGGTGTCTTTTGCTCTCTCTCTCTCTCTCTCTCTCCCTCCCTCTCCCTGTGTATGTGCCCTCTCTCTGTGTGTCTCTGCGTGGTGTCTTTTGCTCTCTCTCCCCCTCTTTCACTCCCTCCCTCTATGTGTGTGTGTATGTGTCTCTCCCACTCCCTCACTCCCTCTGTGTGTGTGCCTGTGTGGTCTCTCTATCTCTATTCTCTATGTCTCCCCCCTCTCTCTGTATGTTAGTGCCTTTGGGGTCTCTCTGTGTGTGTCTCTCCCTCTCTCTGTGTGTGTGCATGTGTGGTCTCTCTCTCTGTCACTGTGGATACCAGATAATTATGTTCACGCTGCATATGTTGAATAATTGTTTGTCTTCAATGGTGTCCATTCAACCTATACAACTTTCCATCCCACTCCGACAATAGAATTGTCCTCTTCTTTAACGTGTCTTATCGATACTACAACACCCCGTAATTTTCATCACAACAGTTGGATAAACATGGGCATGATTCCAATCCGAGATAACAGCCTTAAATAAATATTCTTAAATAGGGTAATTTACAGTTTCTGTATTGAAGGCAATGTCAGGTATCACAATTGCGTTATTTTGAGATAATTACCGTTCACTTGCTTACGTAACCATTCGGTTGCTAAGTAACGAGCCATAACAATGACTTTCAACTATTAACGACGTCTTTAACGCATGACGACAGCTTTCTCCGACTGTAAAACATATGTTATTATTGAAAGAGTTTGAGTG